GCGTGTGGATTTTTTTAGCTGATAGCAGCATTTCTTGACTGCGAGTGATCGCTCTGGGAGCTGGTGCCACACTGCATGTGGTGCGACCGTGCCTCGCTCGCCGGGTGAACGACCGTGGTGCTGCTCGGAGGCGCGTTGGGAGTGAGCCAAGTTCACCCCGTATCACTTGGGGTCACCTTGCCGAGCTGGGGTGTGAAGTGAATTTTAAGACTGGATTGCACCTAGCTGCATGGCACCTTTGGGGAGTGGATCTAGGCAGCCGGTAAGCCGTACTGCAGCCACGCAGCCAGCTCTGTGGGTGCTGGACCAGGACCACCGCTAGCTCAGTGGGCTGGCGGGGTAGCGCAGGGCATGGATTTGCTTCTGGAGCCAGCGGTCCCTCCACTTAGAGCTTGTGTCTGGAAGAGCTAGCTGGCTTTGGTGTGTTTGTGCGGTGTTAGGGTCAAGCTAGTAATCCCTTCCCAGTTCAGAGATACCAGAGAAGAGCTCCGATGGAGTGAGTGTCTGTCCAGCTCCAGTAGGCCCTGTGTTACCCAGACGTGGGGAAATCTTGGGGTTCGCAGGATCTACCGTTGGAAGTCCCTGTTTCAGTGCAATCGTAATCAGCGCCAACGTGCAATTGCCAACGGCAAGTGTTTTGCAGGTTTGGCAGATAAGCCTTCTTGACAGAAGTGTTATTTTTGCAAGCAGAAACTTTGTCTGCCCTGAGGAAATGTATTTATCACAGAATGTCCAAGGTGGGAAGGGACCTCTGGAGATCATCTAGTCCAACCCCCCTGCTCACCTTCATCACATTGCCCAGGATCATGTCCGGGTGGGTTTTGAATATCCGCAGGGAAGGAGACTCCACCACCTCTCTGGGCAACCTGTGCCAGTGCTCTGTCACCCTCACAGTCAAGAAGTTTTTCCTCCTATTCAGATGGAACTTCCTGTGTTTCAGTTTATTCCTGTTGACTCTCATCCTGTTGCTGGGCACCACGGAGAAGAGGCTGGCCTCATCCTCTTGACACTCCCCCTTCAGATACTTGTACACGTTGATGAGATCCCCTCTCAATCTTCTCTTCTCCAGGCTGAACAGGCCCAGCTCTCTCAGCCTTTCTTCATAGGAGAGATGCTCCAGTCCCCACACCATTTTAGTAGCCCTCCACTGGACTCTCTCCAGTAGTGCCATGTCTCTCTTGTCGTGGGGAGCCCAGAATTGGGCACAGTACTGCAGGTGAGGTCTCCCCAGGGCTGAGGAGAGGGCGAGGATCACCTCCCTGCACCTGCTGGCACCACTCTGCCTAACGCACCCCAGGATCCCATTGGCCTTCTTGGCCACAGGGGCACATTGCTGGCTCATGCTTCTCTTGTCCACCAGGACTCCCAGGTCCTTCTTTGCAGAGCTACTCTCCAGCA